ACATGCTTAGCTTTTTGAGAGTAGCCAAGTTTGACTAGATGTTCCTTTAAGAATATGGGATTTTAAATCAACTTAGTCAGTTGGCAATGGCCTAGACTGTTAATTAAAAGACAAACTGCTGTACATAGTAACTTAATTAGTGATTAAAAATATTATTAACATGTAAATCATCCAATGAATGTTAATGGAGTGATATATTTTCATTTATCCAAGATCCCTGGGCTATCTCCTATTTGGGTGTTACAAGACAGAGACTTATTTTCTTTCAATAAGGCTGATGTATTATTTTATTTCTCTGATTGGGTCAACCACAGTTTATTGAACAAGCTGTAACTGGCTCAAATTTTTATAATGTGTTAACCTTTAAATTAATGGTATATGATTTAGAATATATCAATTGATCTCAGATTATTCTCTGATTCCCTTTCTAGTAAATACATTTTCATTTTATTGAATCTACTCCACAAGAGTCCCATTAGTTTCACCACTACTGTCACTACAGTTATTATTAAGTTTATTTATATCCCATCTTTATTTTATAAACAGCTGAAGGCAATGAACATATTAATACTCCTTCCTCATCCTGTTTTTCCTACAATGAGAAGTTGTTGGGCTGAGAGACAGCGGTGGCCTGACTTGGAGATACACTTCAGAAAATACAACTTCTTATCTAGCTTTATAAGAAATTAAAAGAAAATGTCAGTTATTGAACTGAGATTAGACATTATCCTTTGTTGTTAAACCATCTGGGATTGCTTGTGGTCATCTAAAATTTAATTAGGATAAAAGAAAGTTGAGAAATTGGTGGGGGGGAAGCTATCCAAAGAAACATTTTTGTTACGTTCAGAATAAAATAAAATAGTGCAATATTAATAAGGCAGTTTGATTTTGTTTTTCAAAATATTTCAAAGAGTGGACTTTGTAATTGGACGAACAGTGCAGGATAATGAATGTGACATGCCCACATGTCATCTTTTCCCAAAAGTGTTAATATATTATTTATTGTAAAACTGTATCCAAAATTTCATTCATCCTTTCATCCCTCTGTCTAAATAAATTATTTCCCTTCCAATCTTTCTTATACTATTCCATATGCATATGGATTTTATATCAACAGAATAATATCTTATTCAAGCTAAGGAAGCTATATAGAATTATTTTTTAAAAAAATATTTATTGATGCTTCCAGTAAGAAATTACAGTATATGTAGGACGTGACCTATCTTTAGTGAAATAAAAATAGTTAATATGTGATGATGTACTTGCTGCTGGATAGAAAGTTACTGGCTAGTCAGTGATTTGAAGTGCTGAAACATCAGAAATTGGCAACTTACTCTGATTATATTCTCTTCTATCCATAGATATGCATGTGTTGAACCACCCAGACCTGGAAAAGACCACTAAATTGTGTATCCAATTAATATAATTTTATATTAACTGTGCTAAAACATTGACAGCCCTTAAATTTAACTCTATGCCAACAACAATAATCAAAAGGAAAGATCTTCAAATTTTACTGGCATAAATTTCTTGGGCAATAGAGCAGATTACTTCAGGATTTGCTTTGGTGTCTCTTATATGTATTTATAGAAAAAGAATTAGGTTCCTATTGTTTAGATACTGATGAGGATACAATGGTGCTTTTAAATCAAGTTGCCCAATCGTTTAATGTGTGGCTTCTTCTGTCATAAAAATCTTAACATTTCAACTTGTGGAGGTCTGTCATATATGATGATCTGTACATAACATAGGTCTGAGGAGAGGCATAGGATACCAAGCAGTTGGCATATCAGAACCACCCTCTGAACCTGCAGAGAAAAAAGAAAGACAGATACTGGTAACAGAAACCAGACGGATGTGTGGTGGGAAAAGAGGCAATATATGGGCATAATAAAGGCCACTGTTTATGGTACATGATGTTACTATCTGTCATTAGGGCTGGATGGAGTCCTGTGATGAGACAAGAATGTAGAAGCAGTCACTCCATTATATTATTAGTTATTACACTTCTGCTGTAAAGGTCGCTGTTTAACATACATTGCTTTCTTTACCATTGCCATGTAACATGGCAATGTTTGTAGGGAGTTTAATTTATTAAGGAGTTTAACTCCTAAACTTGCCTGATTTGTAGCTCTTTTGCATTCTGCTGAAGGGGAGTCTAGTGAACACTTTAGTTGTCTTTCCACATATGTGTCTGTGTCTATATTAAACTTTTTGTGGCTGAGCATAAATGCTTTTAAGATTATGGCAACTGATTGTAAAGGCAACTGCCTATTTTAATACCATATGTTAAAAACATTGTATTAACACTCTTTGTTACCAAATTGATATTTCTGCATCTGGTTTGGAGTAAATATTATATAAAACCAGCACAGTTAATAAATTCCAAATAAATTTTAAAATATTCTGAACAGCATTCCAGTTATTTTCAAAAGAATATGCATTGGATTGTGCTATTAGTCTAGTTTTATATGCCCAAACAGTTCTTTTTAATGATGTGGTAGAAATTAAATATTTGGTCTCTAGGAGTGTATTATGATACACTTTAATTCATGAATTAAATCCCTGTTAGACATCCAAATAAAGTAGCATTTCTTTGCATATAACTATATATGCCACCAAAATATTTCTTGTTCTTTCTATGTATGCTTGACAACCTCATCTTCTCATTTTCATTGCTTGCATTTAGTCTTGCAGCACCATGCTTTTTAATTATGTTTCTGTTTTGTTTAATACATACAATGCATTTAATATCCTTTTATGTAGTGAGAAGATTGTGGGCAATCATTCTATTATATGTGGACCTAATCATTTTTTCATTCAGTGAGCTTTGAATAAGAATATTCTGTTCTAATAACCACAGCAGCTTTATGCTGTACCAAAGAATATCCAATCAGAATAAGGATGGATAAGAAAAGACAAATCCAAGGGCACTCAGAGAATTTTCCAAGAGACATAAATGAAATATATCAATCAAGAAAATCACAGAATTATGGGTGACTTCAAATGTTGGAATGTTGACTTACAAAATAAGAGATTATCATTTTGTTTTCATTATTTATTTATTACATTTATATGCCACCCATCTTATGATAACTTTTGGCAACTTACAATCTGATAAAACAATATTATAAAAGAATAAAACAGTAAGACAATAAATATAACATTAGCATTAATTTTGGAATCTATTAAGAAATATCATTTACAGCTGAACCTGTTTAAATCATATAAAGTAATTGAACTATTCTGCAAGAAACCCTACAACTAAAACAAAAGTTTTAAAAAATTAACAAAATTGATACTGAAGCATCTACATCAGCCAATATGATAACAATGGGTCAAATTGAAATGTAGACTAGGTAATATTTTGCAACCTTTCCTTAACTCCATTTCAGTTTGGATGTTGCAAGGAAAAATGTGTTGCAAAGACTTTTGTCAGGAAGAGACTACAAAAAAAGCAGTATCTACAGATAGTTAGGGGAGTGCTAAGTCCTTGAGGGAAGAGTCTAAACAGGTAAGAGTGGCAGAGACAAAGAAAAGGTGGACAAGGACAGATCAAAAAGTGAGGAATTCAAATAGAACATCAACAAGGAGATGCCAAGTTGGATACAGAGAAAGAGAATGAAAAGGAACAAACATAGGAAGAAAAGGCAAGCAAGAGGGGAAAAAAAGTTCAGGACGATATTCAAAAAAACAGAAGTATGAAGTTGTGGTTATGGGTCACATTCAGGCATTGCTCTAAACTGCCAAATATGAGGGAACTGAAAACACTGTTTTTCTTGTGCGTGCCTCTTCTAAAAACAAAGCCATATTAATCTCCCAATGGGTGAATTAGACAGTAATAGCGACTGAACAGAATTGCTAGCATAATTTTTGCCTGGGTAGAAAAATAACTAAAGGGAACTGTCATAATGCTGTAGTACTAATGTTTCAACACTTTAATTTCTACAATATAATCAGAGTCAAATTAGTAATAAATCTCTTTCTGTACACCATCATGTTGCAGTTTTCTTTCCCTAGTTTGTCTTTCAAAAATAAGGATCAGAGGGGATTTATCAGATTTTTGCCAAGTTTTGACTCTGGGAGAGATAATGCTAGTTTTATTTAAAGAGCTTACTAGAAGTTGAAGAAGTTCCAATGCAATCTTTGGAATAGGCTAACTCCTGAAACCAGAAGACTCTCATATTAGTAGAAGGGTGACAGTTATATTGTTGTAGAGCGTCCCAAAATCCTTTGGACACCAGGGACCGGTTCTGTGAAGAGATTTTTTTCTGTGGACCAGAGGGGAATGTGGTTTCAAGTGCTGCCTGTATCCCAAGTCTGCATGATGGGGTTTCACTCATTTGTATGGCCCAGTTTATGGCACCCTGCAGACTAGTGTGGGTCCATGGCCTGGAGATGGGGGGCCCCTATGTTATAGAAATATGCAATCTTTTCACACAATATGTATGTAGTGTTAGGATTTTATTTATGCCATGAGAATAAAGAATACATTAATCATCATCTGTGATTCCATTATAGCAGCGCATGGGGCACAAGTAGGAGCAATGATAATATCTTCAGATTAATTCAATTCCAAATTAAATGTTTTTTTCCCAATCTTTTTTCAACTGGGAATTTTGTTTCTTTTGAAAACTTGCTTGGTCATGGTGAACATCTGCTTATTCAATTTGAAGAAATAAAGGATATGTAGAAAGAAAACTACAGTATAATTCCTCATGTAGAATCAGAACAGACAGAGACCACAATACAAACTTTGGAAATGGTCCAGTCTAATATGCAACATAAGTGCTGTAAATCAATTAGATGCCAGGTTCAGGATTGTTTCCTATCATTAGGCAGTATAAAGCAACTTCCTTAGATAGTAGATTTGGTATATAACAAAACATTGTACATTTTTATTAGAACTATGCAGTGCTTTAGATACAACTTCTAAAAAATTCTTCAGAGTATAAGTATTTGCTTCCCACTCTTTAATGCAATAACATTTTCCTCCTCAGGCTATGCCTTGGAATGGGCCACAGGACAGCAGAAGCAAAGGATAGAGAGAAGCACCTGCTTGTTAAATCTACTGCTCCCCCCCCCAAGCATAGCTTTCTCAGTCTTATTTTAAGCTTTAAGGCGGAACATAAAGCTGAAAGGAAATCATGAGGTAGTATGCTTTTATAAATGTTTTCAGCAGTGGGATACAATATGTAATTCTTAAATTTATTATCATAGTTCAAAGCAGATAAGTTGCCAGAAATTACAAGTGCAGAAGTCTAGAGATCTTTATAGTAGCTGTAAATCTCACTAAATTGCAGGAATACAAGAATTTAGGAAAACCAAAAAAGTTGACTTCAGGCATTATGACTCAGTCTATGCAAGCAAATCCACAAATCAGAGCAGAGTGTAATTTTTTTACCAGACTCAAGGACTGCTCTTGGGTTTTTTTTGGAGAGGGTGGTGGCTCATAGAACATTTCTTTGGACTTATTTGGTTATTTATGTATTTATGGGTGTATGGGTCTGACAATCTTTCCTGCTCTAGATCAGGTAATTCCGCCTGCTGCTCTATTTCCACATTAGATTTATTTATCTATTTTGTTTATCTAAAATAGTTATATAGCCACCCATCTTTCAATTCCGGGTGGCTCCCAATCAAAAATTAAAAGTCTTCTCCCCAAATCATTTTTAAATCTATAAAATTCAACCAGTTTAAGCACAAAGCATTAAAACAACAAAACCTTGGTGCCATTCTTTGCTAATTTTATTATCTAATATTCTCCCTAGGCTGGGGGGGGAGGGGGAGTTAGATCTTTTAAAGCCTTACAAAAGGCTAAAAGTGTTAATTGTAGATGGTTGATTGATTACTGATTGCTCTGGACCTGCAGATTCACCCTCTAAGAGGCCCTCTCTTTTTGAGTCTCATCTATCTGAAAGCCTATAGGCTCCTAAAGTACATGGACAAAAACCTGTCAAGCCTTGCCTGTCTAAGGATTCATCAGAGTTCGGAGTTTCTGCTTGCCATATAATAAGGTTTGTTTGTTTGTTTGATTGATTGATTGAAATATAATTTGTACAATATCTCATGAGATTTACCTGTAAGTGATTTGTAGAGAACCCTGTGAACTTTGCATCTGGGTGATTAAACTAGATTTGAATAGCTATATATTTCAGTAAGAAGAATCTCCCTTGCCCCAAAATAATGCAAATGTCTTTTCTTGGAGTTTGGTTTTCTTTTATTTATTTATCTATTGCAATTATTACATCACTTTTTTGTTGAATGTTAAGCTCCCTTTCCCCCTTTTATTTAAATCAGGGATCCTCAACCTTGGCAACTTTAAGACTTGTGGACTTCAACTCCCAGAATTCCTCAGCCAGCAAAGTTGGCTGAGGAATTCTGGGAGTTGAAGTCCACAAGTCTTAAAGTTGCCAAGGTTGAGGACCCCTGATTTAAATGAAAGATTTAAATAAAATAGATGGCTTTGTTATTAGACAGTATTTTATCTTACTGACTTTGCTTGAGCTATATATATTAATGCATGATGTCAAGCTTCCTTGGAATTTTGGATGAATCAAGAAGAAAAATAGAAATCTGAATAATATTGGTGGAATTGGGACAACATCACAGTCAGGTATGAACATTAGGCCAAGACTATGTTAGGTTTTTCATGTCTTTGGCCGGCTTGTTTTCTACTATTTTTCCTTGTGTTTGTGAAGGTTAGCAATTAGATCTCTAAAGCTGAACACTTAGAAAGCTAAATCCTGGTTATTTATTTTGTTTACATTTACTTAGCATGTGGCATACAATATCAGGGAAATCTACAAATACTAGACACAATGCAGTCCTGACAGCCTAAATTGCTACTTTATTCTGTTTGATACTTGCATGCCTATCCTTGGTGCACTGCAAGGGGCAAACTAGCTGATTAGTGGTGCTTGAGTTGCTGGCTCTTCAGGCTTCTCCACTGGTCTTGCCTTGCGTCTCCTCGTGTTACAATGCTTTGCATCCAGCCAGGTCCAGCACTGGCTTCTGTTCTCCACACCTATGAAAGCAGCTAGGTTTCTCCCACTGAAGTGGTGCACATTTATGTACTCACAATATTGCATGCTTTCAAACTGCTGGGTGGACCGGAGCTGGAGAACAAGTGGCAGGAGTTCACTCTGACTTGTGGAGCCAGACTTGAACCACTGGAGTACCAGCCATTTCTGGCTGACAGTTCCAGCATCATTAAGTCACTGTGTCACTGTGTCCCACTGGATCTGCTAGGGATTCCTTATTTACTCTATGATCTGAGTGAGGATAATGTCTTACTCTGTTATATTTTGTTCAGTATTTCTGGAGTGTCCCAAAAACTACAGCATATAACATATGAAGTAATTAGGATTTGTAGTATAAATCACATGCTTTCTTATGCAATAATAATTACACTTGTATACAATCTTTTTCAGAAGCTGTATGTAATACTGTGCTGGAAAAAGTGCTAAATAAGACCAGACACTAATTGGAAAATGAAAGGAGCTGCCTGAAGAATGTATATAGAAAACTTTCTTTAAGAAACTTGGAACAAAATCTGATTTGACGCTTAGACAATAAATGAGTCTGCACTATTATGCATTTGCAAAATGAAACTAAAGTACAGATTTTATGAAGGATATAGTCAACATGACAGCTCTTAAATGAGATAAACATTGAGGATAATGGAACTGTTTATTGGATTAGATCTTATTAGTAAAAAGGAAAGCAAGCAAAACAGAAACATTAAGGTCTTCATTATTTGCTGTATTCATTCATTCCTAAGAACAAATATTTCAAAAGGACTAATTGCTGCTGCAACTAATATTGTTTGCTTTTAAAAGGAAGCATGGAATAGAACCGCTTCATGAGTTGTTTTTTAATAGTTTGAAAAATAACACCAAAACATTAATGTAGACTGAAGGAGAGAATTCTTGGCTGAAGAAAGGGAAGTTTAATGTTCAAAGCATAAGACTTATTACAATATCTTTACCTTTTTTAAACAGACTTTAAATATGTGTGCTATTTATTCATAAACAATGTGGTTAAAAAATATTCCTATACATCTGAACTAGCACTTTTTTATTTTAGGAAAAAAAATAATAATTTGCATTTTGTTCCTTATCTATCTTTTCAACTCTAAAGATCTCTGGAAATAGCATTTTCACTTCTCCCATAGTAATATTTACAATAATTATCTATATAAGAATTATTTATTCACTGAAGGTAACAGGACATTGTGGTATAGGTTGGATTGGGAAATGGTCTAGGTTATTTTTTGCCCCCCCCAAAAAAAAGTTTGAGTGGATTGTATTTTGAAGTTATTCAAGTCTGAATATTCCACATTTGGTCCTATAATCTCAACTGCAGTATAATCTTGTCAGTCTTATGTACACATATCTCACAGAGGAATCAAGCATGGGTTCATCTGCACTTCAACCATTGTGATAATTTGATCCTTAACATTATAAATGTACTCTAAATCAAAGTTAGCAATAAAATGTGTTTTCTAAAGTCATCATGAAAATAGGACTGAGTTAACCAGCATTCTTAAGAATTCTGTAGATCAGAGATACAGTATTTGTGGGCTTTGCTGTGTCTTAACAATGCATTATTGCAGAGAAAAAGTTTTTAAACTGTTTCAGGGTATAGAACCTGCTGGTTAAAAAAATAAAATCCCGGAACTCTTGATCAAGAGGCAAACCAGTAAATCATGAGCACAAACACCTCTGAGGGAGGAGTCTGAATGCCACTGATAAGCCCCACTCTTCTCACAAAAAAAATTGCTATGACTGTCCCTGCGAGGATGCTTTTTTTCTTTTTGCCCATGGTTTTTAATGGAACCTCCTCAAGTTATCACAGAACTCCAAGTTTCTGTGAAATACCATTTGAAAAGAGCACATTTTGGCCAAGGGTTTGGAGACAAGGATTACAGTTAATATCTAGAATAAATGTCAACACAACCATAATCTCACTGAATGGCCATCCTGATAGATATTTAGCTGAATCTGCTCACCAATTTGTATTTTGGATGTATTCTATTGTATTATATGCAGAATAGTTGTAAATATATTAATAGATATAAGGACCATGTCAACAAGCAATAGTGAGATAAAGTGCTTTCGTCACTCCAAAACATTGTTTACACTACAGGCAGAAGAATAATTTAAATTTATGACAAAATGGTCTTTGATTTTAGAATCAGTTTTAGTAATCCTGAAAAACTTAGCTCATGTAAGGATTGGATTGCAGTGTTTCTCAACTTGGCAATGGTAAAAAGTATGGAATTCAACTCCCAGAATTTCTCAGTCAGTTTCTGAGGTTGATAAAATTGCTGATAAAAAACAATGTTCTGTTGTAATGGTGGTAGCATCTTATTTGTATGGAAACTTGGATGGAATTTTCTCTGTAATTTATCTAGGTAGCATTCTGCTTATTTTTGGCAAGTTTTCCTCAGTGATGCAGTCATACTGTAGTATGTTGAATAGTACTTTGTTAAATTTCCAGTGATTATGTGTTCCATGACAGTCTATTTTGACTAATCCAGGATAAAAAAAAAAAAAGTAAGAAGGAGTATGATAAATAATGGCATCAAAGCAGCCATGAGGTATGGAAATGGGTGAACAATCTCACTGCTATTTTTGGAATGAAGATGGAAATATTATCCAAGTATGGGAACTTTTAGTTTTGCTTTGCTATTTTTAAATATTAGACTAGTAATGTCTATTCTCAAATGGTCTACTAATCCTGTTACATTAATTCTTACGATTCAGCCATTTGGAGGAGTGATTTCCCATGATAAAGTACTTGACATTTTTACTTTATCAGTTATAATACTGCAAGTGTAAAATAAGGAAAGCAAATATCCTTTATCATACACTGTTGAACATGTCAAATATTTTGGTCTTTTAAAATATCTATTTGCTAGGGTATGTTTCAATGGACACTATAAATAGAAATGTCGTTCTCTTTTTTCTAAATTATTTAATATATAAACAATGTAAGGAAAGAACTTTCTTTGGAATGAAAGATTAACTTTGATATTGCATGCCCATATTTTTATTTCCAAGCAACCATTAGGGATGAAGCAACCTCTGCCACATTTCTGCTACATTTACTCTACAGATCATGATGTTTGCTTTCATCTACAAAGTACTGTAGAGAGAGACACAGTGCAATCACATTTCTATTATGAAAATGCAAGAAAAGGAAGTTGGTGCGGAGCTAAGAGAATGAGCAACATAAGAGGTGGGAGGGCAAAGCAACTTGTGATGTTGTATATTCAGTGAGCCATTTAGAGGTAAAAATATGCTATAACAACACTACTCATTGTGGGTTTTATGAAAACGGCAAAACCTTTGTGAATATTTTATGTCAGTGTAAAAATAAAGAACTTCTAGAACTGCATTTCTCAGACTTGTTCTACAGACAATTTAAAAATGGCTAACAGTCTTGGTGTACCATTTATTCTATTTTTGTTTGCTTGACAGATCAAGCCTTCATGTAAGTCATACTTTTAATAGATTTTAAAATCTATAATAATATTCTCATAAAGATCCATAGTATCAATGTTATAAGAATTAGATGAAAAGGATCAGTCATGGAGATAAAATCAGTAACAGCTACATGATGATACTAAGATGATAATACAGGTGTAGGATTAGACATTTGTGACTGCTTTGTGAATTCTGCAGCTACATAAATTAGTCTATCATAAGTGGTCTTTAGACCTATTGGAGAAGTTCTGAGTTGATGTATATAACAATTAAGTCTGATCTTCTTTATGTTATGTATTTATTGTTCCAGAAGTGGGGAACTAAATCTAGTCCAAATATGAGATCCAATTCCTCAACTGCCTTGGTGAGCCAAGTGGCAGCAGGAAACAGCAAAGCTTCAGAGGGGTAAAACCCCACCTTCCTAAGAAAAATCACCCCAAACTGAAATCATTAATTTGTCCATGCAAAACTAAGTGGAGAAGGCTAACCCCTTTTTTCACTGAATGGCAAAAGTCATCTATGCAGGATGAAAATGGGAATCAAAGCTTCATATTTTGCTCTGTGGACAGTCTTTCTGCCCATGATAGCAAACAGAGCATGTTATCTTTATGTTCTCCATAGACAAATCCCACCTGTAAGGATTGGCTTCAACTGCCCCTACCTTCTTCCACTAGGGAAGGAAAAGATAGGTGAAGAACAAGCTCATTTGAGTAGCCCCTGATTTTTTATATTGAGGAGGCTGCATGGGTGATGAAAAAACTACAGGAGAAGAAACTCTCATGCAAGCTTTGGTAGACAACTCAGATTACATTTATAAACCAGAAGTTTCTAATTTATCTTGATCCATCTTGTACTTCCTTTAACAATGTGTGAAATCATATATATAAGAACTATTCAAAATCACATATAGTAAATTATATGTCCTTTTCATTAAAGCTTCTAATAACAGAATAACAGAATTGGTGGAAACTTGGAGGTCTTCTAGTCCAACTCACTGCTCAAGCAGGAAATCCTATATTATTTCAGACAAATGGCTGTCCAATTTCTTCTTTAAAACTTCCAGTGTTGGAGCTTCAGCTTTTCCAGCTTCTTAACTGAAGAAGTTTCTTGAATGAGAAGTGAAACGCCTTCAAGGAAAAACAAAGAAAATCCAGTTGCCTTTTAGAAAAGCACCTTTGGAATAAACATGACTGAGAATCTCCATAAACATTTCAATTTTGTACAAATGTTGGATATATAGTCACTTTTCTGAGTAAGATGGGCAACAAATAAATTTAATAAATAAATAAATCTTGGATGTATCTGTTCCAAATAAATCATTTGGTACATAGCTTTTCCAAAATGAATGCATTTTTGCCTATTGAATACATTTCCATCACTAGTACTGATGATATTATCCAGTTTGGGTAATGCAATATCTGCATGAAAACAACCAAGCTCAGAGATCCCCAAGGATTCCTTATTTCAACCCTGTGCTACAAATATTCTCCTTTACTGAAATACATTTCCCCAAATATAAATGGTTTGCAGATACTCTATGTATTTTAGAGATAATTTTTGAGCCAATAAAAACATGGTGGTGGAGCCTAGCAGACTCTATGAATTAAATGTTCATTTATACTGTGATGGATTCCATATTAATGAACCACAGTGTTTTATTTGATAGCCCCTCAAAGCTGGATTTTTCTCTGCCATCTCTTCTCTTGCCTTCATTGTGAGAGATGATTTTGATTGTTTGTTTCCTATAATTCCTGTAAATCTCAATCAGTCAGTTAATTATTGCCAATAAGAAGAGTAAATTGAATGTTCCTAACTGCCCCTTGAGATAGTCAGGCTGCAGGACTGAAGAAAAAAATCCAAACTATTCCATCACCTGTGCTGAGAGATTAAATATTTTGATAGTCCCCAATTGTTACTTTGGGTATCAAAGGGTATCTGCTTTGGGTCTACAAGGGTATCTGCCTTGGGTATCAAAGGATATCTGCTTTGGGTATACAAAGGTATCTGCCTTGCTCCCTCCTTATTGGCTCCCTCCTTACAATAGAAATTTTGTGGCTTAAAGAATTGACCTTTCTCATTCTGTCTTTCCTTGTATCAATACTACTTGCTGGAAAAGCAGAAATATCTTATTACATTCAGTTCATATTTGTGGATTTGTGGATTTCCTTAAGCCATTTTATTGGATGCATGGAAGCTGGGTGTTGGATGAGACAAGTTTTCATCTAATCCTACACCACTTTTCTTATGTTCTTATATACTGTATATTTTGATTTCTGAAATAGGGCAAGATACAAACAATTCAGGGAAATAAAATGTGACACTAAGCTGATGCCTTACCCATTAAAACATTTTTTTGTTTCAGGGGAAATAAACACAAGAACTATTGTCCAAGTTTCAGTCAGGGATGTGTGGGAAATATATGCTGGCTAAATGATTTCATTGTGATTACAGAAGCATAAAAAAAGGTGAAAGGAAGTTTAATTTTTGAAGTCTACAGTTACTTCAGATTAATGATTATGTAAACAGCTGCAGAGCTGCAGCAAGCTACTCCTATGAAACAGTGTCATTAAAACTGCAGAAAAGGGTTTC